CTGTCTGATTGTCTGATGTCTATTTCACTTTTTCCACTTGTCTCATTTATCCAACTTTATTACACCCGCCATCCGTGCCCCTATTTCTGTTTTCTTTTTTTTTCTTTTTTTTCTGAACCCGCGCCATCGATTTCCCTTCCTCACCAGATGGAGGCCAAGGAGAGGGCGTACTCGATGGAGTCGACCGCCAGCCAAGGCCAGACCCCGAGCCTCGTCAGCGCCCCCTCCAGGCGGATGTCGGTGTCGTCCTCCATGACGTCCAGGTCGAGGAAGATCTCCAGAATTGGTAACACTGGTGTGTGTGTGTGTGTGTGTGTGTGTGTGTGTGTGTGTGTGTGTGTGTGTGTGTGTGTGTGTGTGTGTGTGTGTGTGTGTGTGTGTGTGTGTGTGGGTGGGTGTGTGTGGGTGTGTGTGGGTGTGCGTGCGTGCGTGCGTGCGTGTGAGCGTGCGTGCGTGTCTACTTTCCCTCTAAGTACAAAAATCTGTATAAATGAATTTAACCATTTATAAATAGCATATCCACAGTAATATCCACCTATCAACCTGCCATAGACCAGCACATCACTCCACTATGTATCATCCAAGCACACGGTCACCTTCAGAAATGGTGAACATGCCAGGGGGGGCGATGCTGCTGGAAGTGGAGGAGCGGGAAGACGACGCCGTGTCCATTCTGAGCCGAAGGGACAGCCTCTCCGGAGCTGTCACGGTCGGGGGCGTCACTCCCTTACCCGACACTGCCTACTTCGATAAGAAAATTAAGATCGAGATGGTATGCTAACATTGCATGCCTCTGCATGCCATGGTGATATGGACCAGCGAAGTCCAGTAATTTCATATACGTGTATTAAATGTTGATAATGTTAACGTTAATAATTATAAATTATGTAACATGGCTGCCAGTCATTTGTTAAACACACTTGAGTAGATGTACCAGTAACACGTAATCATTTGATATACATTGCAAAGGTTCATCTAGACACCCATGCATATAAATAAAACGAAATTCAACATCTCTAAATCCCCGGGGGCAGGCTCACCATAGTCCAGCCGTCGGGAGCAATCCGGGAGAAGACTCTGGCGACGAAGGCGAAGGAGACACGGCCACGGACGCTGTGAACAAGGAGAGCAAGAAGGACAAAGACCCCTTACTGAGCTACGGTCTCTCCAACGTCCTCAACCACCTGTGTCTCGCCCTGGCCTCTCCTGCCTTCTTCAGGCTGCCGGCCCTCGCCTACAAATGGAGCAGCAAAACTGGCTGTGCGTCTTTGAGGGATTCGTTAATGTTGAAATCTGAAATGGGGGGATGGTATGATGTTTCGGGATTCAGTGTCACGATTGCTGGGATGTGTTAATTTACGGATGGTAGGCCTATTTGCTCTTTTATTTCGGAAGTTGTTTATTCAGTGAAGTATGTATTCACAATGATCCTGAAGAAGCACAGACAAGCACGAAATAGTATACCAATTCAACACATACAAACGATCATTAATATTCGCGTATTTTCTTGTTCTTCCCTTTTTAAGAGCATCAGTCTGCACGCTAGAGATGTATACACTCAACAGAAAACGAACACTGACCCCCACACCGTTTCCTTTTCAGCTGGTTTCTTCTTAGCGTACTGCATCATGCTCCTTGTGGTGGCTCTGCCGATCAGCGTCCTCGAGCACACGATGGCTCAGTTCTCGTCTCTGGGCACCGTGACCATCTTCAGGTGTCTTCCTCTCCTCACTGGTTAGCCCGCTTTCAGCAATCTGCCGGATTCATATTCCTTTGGCCTTTTATTTTCCTCAAGCCATCAAGACTCCATAACTCTGATCCTTAATTTACTACTACTGCTGCCCATTACGCTTTTATAAATCTGCAATTTCTTAATCTTGTTAAGTAACGACCTGAAAGTTGTCGTGGTCACTTGAGCATGGTTGTACTTGCAACACAGGTGTGGGCGTCGGCATGATGGCGGCCTGCAGCGTCCTCATGGTTTACACAAGCACTACCTTTACCTGGAGCACGCTCTATCTCTTTGACTGCATGCATCCGAAATTGCCTTGGGAAGAGTGTCCGAATGGAACGAATTACTGTGTGGACTTTGAGAAATACACTCTGGGGGCCACAGACGCGAGGAAGTACCTTCCGAATGATTTCTACTTTCTGTAAGTACCCTTGGTGCAAAGAGCCCAGTATTCGGAAATGTTATAAAGATTCTTGAATATCTTTTTAAGACTCAAGATGAAAAGATGACTAGAATAGATATCCTGTAAATTACAGTGAATAGATAATATAATAATTAGACAAATATGTAAATAAAAAGAAGATAGTTACAGGCATACACAGATAAATAAGTAAATAAACAGATAAGATCGATAATAAAACTAACACCTAACCACGTCTCCCTTCCCTCCCTCCCCCAAGAGATAGCGTGGCGCAGGTGTTCGAGCCCCGAGGCGCCTTCTCTCCGAACTTATCTCTGGCTCTCATCCAGCTGTTTCTGTGGCTCGCC